GGGGATCAACACCTGAGATTATCCTCTGACCTTCATAGGCATGCACAGATGTGCATGTGCACCTGTGTACAAATGTGCATATATATATACACACACATACAAAAGAATCACCTTGACAATTTTTTTACTTCATTGGTTTTGTTTTGTTTTGTAAGACAGGGTCATCGTACAGCTAGGCTGAGTACAAACTCGTGATCCTCTTGCCTCACCCTCCTTAGGTGCTGGGATTACAGGAGTGTGCCACCATACTCAGCTTTAACCTTTCACTACACATCATTTTATGCTATATGTGATGAAATTGGGAGCACACTTAGAACATTTCTAATGCATATCACAATTGTCCTACTTTGTTTCTCCATTGCTGTGACAAAACACCCTGACCACTACCAACCTGGGGAGGAAAGGCTTCATTCAGCTTACATCTCTCGGGTCACAGTTCATCAGGGAGCCCAAGGTAGGAACTCAGGGCAGGAACCTGGAAGCAGGAGCTAGAGTACAGGGCATGAAGGATCACTGCTTACTGACTTGCTCCCCTGGCCCCTGCTCAGCCTGCTTATGCAACATAGGCCCACCTGCCCAAGGCTGGCACTACCCACAGTGGGCTGGGCCCTCCTACATCACTCAACAATCAAGAAGGTGCCCCATGGACATGGCCACAGGCCAGTCCAATGAAGGCAATTCCCCAATTCAGGCTCCCTCAACCCAGGTGTGTCAAGTTGACACTAAAGCTGTCCAGCACAATATTAGGAGTCCCAGTGAAGAGCCTGGAGAGTTGGCTCAGCAGTTAAGGGCACTGGCTGCTTTTCCAAAGGACCCCGGTTCATTTCCCAGCACCCACGTGGCAGCTAACAACAATGTGTAATTCCGGTTCCAGGGGATCCAATACCCACTTTGGCCTCTACGGGCATTGCACACACACGGTACACTTATCTCCATGCAAGCAGACCACTCATATGTGTATGGTTTTTTTGACATTGGCTCGGTGAGAAATAAATGATTATCTGAGCCACAAGGTAAGATGACTGACTTCTGTGGAGCACCATTTGTACTGGAAAGAACCAAAGGCCTATATTCAGAGCTGCTGTTGGAGAGGCCTCTATCACCATGATATTGAAACCTGTCACTTCGAAGAGAACACCTGACAGCACTCAGAGCCACTGGTAGCGTTTGATTTTGTGTGCAAACACTGGAATCTTGAAAACCATATGTCTGGAGACTCCTGAGTTTGATGGCCTTCTAGGACCTAAAGACTGATGGCGATATTAACAAATGTGATCAAGGCCAGGTGTGGTGGTGCAGGCTCTTTAACCCCAGTCCCTGAGAGACAGAGGCAGGCAGTGCTTTCTGAGATCAAGGCCAGCTGGGGCTACAGGGAGACCCTTTCTCAATCAATAATCTTTAAAAAAGATTTGTCATAGCAAGTTAAATATACAAGCAAGTGAGAATCCATCCATTAGAGCTGCAAAACTGTTAACAATGCCACTCTTGTCACGAACTTTTGTTTTTGGTCTTTTTGAGACAGGGTTTTTCTGTAGCTCCAGTTGGCCTGGAACTCACTCTGTGACCAGGCTGGTCTCAAACTCACAGAGATCTGCCTGCCTCTGCTTCCCAAGTGCTGGTACTAAAGGCATGGGCCACCACACCAGTTTTATGAACTTTCAAGAATGTAAAGCAGAGGGGCTGGAGAGATGGTTCAGCGGTTAAGAGTACTGACTGCTCTTGCAGAGGAACTGGGTTCGATTCTCATCACCCACATTGTAGCTAACAACCGTTCGTAACTGCAGTTCCATGGGACCTGATGCCCTCTTCTGACTTCCACAAACATTGTACAACATGGGCACACTTACGTGCAGGCCATACACTCACATACATAAAATAAAAATAGGAAATAAAATATTTCTTAAAATAAAAATAATGAAATTTTTTTTTTCTTCCTCCCAAGTGCTGGGATTAAAGGCATGCACCACCACACCCAGCCTAATGAAATACTTTTTAAGGAAGGAGAGAGACAGAGACAGAGAGAAAGAATGCGTGTGTGTTTGTGACGAGGTCCTGAGACCAAGGAATTTGGTCCAGATACCAAAGAATTTGAGAATTGCTGAACCAGTCTATATAGAATTACTCTGTTCATTAGCATTTATATTTTAGTTAAATAAGAAATGTTAGTATTTCTCGCACTCAGGAGTCAGAGGCAGGTGAATCTCTGTGAGTTCAAGGCCAGCCTAGGCTACATAGTGAGTCTAGGCGAGCATTGGCTGTTCTCGGGGTTGGAGAGGTGGCTGAGTGTTTAAAAGTACTGACTGCTCTTGCAGAGGACCCTGTACCCACATGGTGGCTACAAACTGTCCTTAACTACAGTTCCAATCAGAAGCCCTCTTCTGACCTCCTCAACATTGCACGACATGGGAGCACTCACATACATGGATACAATACACTCATACACATAAAATAAAAATAATAAATGAAATATTTTTTAAAAAAGAGCATTGGCTGTTCTTCCAGAAGACCCAAGTTCGAATCACAGAACCCAAAGTGGCTAAATGCATAACTCCAGTTCCAAGGGACTCTGATGCCCTCTCCTGGCCTCTACGGGCATTGCATAACACAGGTGCACCTACAAACATGCACATACATACATACATAAATAAATAAATAAATAAATAAATAAATAATTAATTAATTTTAAAAAACCTCGCCACAGAATTATATTGTACTTTTATTCCCCAGCATGTCTACATGCCTGACAGAAGGTCAATGCCAGCTGGCCTGACTTTACAGTCTGTTAGTCCTCAGAACCTCCAAGGAAAAACGGTAAGTGTGATACTTTTATTTACCATATCATGTTTTATTTATATGCTGCCCAGGAAGACATATATCTGACACCATTTTTAAGTGGATTTTCAGAAGTGTCTCCTACAGAAGAAAATATCACTGCTTTGTGACAGATTCCACATCAGTGTCTTTGTGGATACTTGTCCCTAAATGTCCAAGTGGAAGGTCAAATTTCAAGTTAATTATTTAATGCCATGAGTTGCCTTGATTTGTTAATCCCTTTATCTTCAAAATAGAAACCAGGCATGGTGGTGCACTTCTGTAATCCCAGCACAAAAGTATCTTTGAGGCCAGGCCCAGCCCTGCCTACATATCAAGACTCAGTTTCAAAAGCCCAAAAGCAGCTGGGCGTGGTGGCACACGCCTTTAGTCCCAGCATTCAGGAGGCAGAGGCAGGTTGATCTTTGTGAGTTCAAGGCCAGCCTGATCTACATAGTGAGTTCCCAGACAGCTATAGCTCAGTAATGAATGCTGCCTCACATATACAGGGCCTTGAGTTCAAGCCCCAATACAACCCAAAAAAATAAATAAAATAGAACAGACCTTGGAATAATACATTAGTAGAACAAGTCTAGCAAACAGCCATTTATAGTCATATTGCACACCCTTCAAGAAACTTTTCCTATGAAGTTTGTTTTTATTTCGAGACAAGGTCTTACTCCATAGGCCAGGCTGGCCTGGAACTCTGCTAGCTCCCACAGTGCTGGGACCACTGTACTTTGCTTTCCTGTGAAAGTTAATATAAATTTGCCCAAAATACACTTATCTATCTATTTACGCAAAGAAAGACTATAAAATAGTCAGAACTGGCCATGGTGGCTCATGCCTGTAATCCCAACACACCAGAGGGTAAGGAAAGAGGATTGAGAGCTGGAGGCTGGTCTGGGTTACATGCTAAGACACTGTCTTCAAAGGTAGCAGCCAGCAGAGCATGGTGGTACACACCTTTAGTCCCAGCACTCAGGAGGCAGAGGCAGGCAGATCTCTGAGTTTGAGGCCAGCCTGGTCTGCATAGCAAATTCCAGGCCAGCTGGGGCTACAGGGAGACCCTGTCTCAAAAAAGACCACCCCCCCCCCAAAAAAAGCCACAGCAAATATTTACCATTTTCATTTTGCTGTCCGTGTTATATTCAAGTTGAAAAGGATCTTTAATGCCAGTTCTTCAAATCAAAGAGAAAAATGACTTTGTTGATTCAGTTTTGGATTGGGTTTGGTCCTCCTTCCCTTCCTCCCTTCCTCCCTTCCTTCGTTTTTCTTTCTTAAGACAAGGTCTTGAACTCAGAATCTTTCTGCCCCAGCCTCCAGAGTGCTAAGATTATAGGTGTGCCTCCCAATGGTCCAGCTACTTTGATTTGTTGTAATAGAATTCTTTTACTTGGGAATTTGGCTCCAGTATCAGTAGATAGTCCTATTTGTTTAAAGATGGGATTTTTTTTTAAGCACCTGTACAATTGTTCATTATTACTTAAAATTCTGTTCCTACAGTAATCAAAACAAATTCATCTTACATTTCTTTATAAATATCTTATTTCATCTTACATGTTCAGACAGAAGGAAGTAATTCCTGGATTTAAAGTGCTTTAGTTTATTTATTAAAGATTGTAAGTATTCCTTTACTAAAGCCAAGAACTGCCTGTCTGGGGGTGCATACCTTTAATCCCCATACTGGGGAGGCAGAGGCAGGTGGATCTCTGTGATTTGGGGGCCAGCCTAGTCTACATAGTGAATTCTACTCCAGACAGGGCTACATAGTGAGACCCTGTCTAAAAATAAAAAGACTGCTAAGAATTGTTAAATGTTAGACTGTTGGTCTGACAGAGGAGGAGCAGGTGCAGGTGTCTAGTGTTTTCTGCTTTGCTTCCTGTAGTGCATACTTAGAAACATACTTCCTTTCCAGCACCCCTATTTTCTATAGCCGCTGTGCCTATTTGGCCTCGGAAGTTGAATGTATACCTAGCTAATAGTTTCTCATTCTCCAACTACAATTTCAAAGTTTCTTTTGGTGTTTCTGTCATCTCTCAATCTGGGTCTCAGAACAGCTCATTCCACCAAATAGACTATCTGTCCCTTCCTCTATCCATCATCTCCTTGGCAAGACCTCAAGAGCCAGACATGATCAGGAGACAAAACTTAGCCCGGAGTCAGGTGTTCCCAAGGTGCCGTTGGCTTTAGAGCAAAAACGGCTGCTCTTTTTAAAATCACATACTCTAAATAAACATCTTTGACCTTTGAACCAAGACTGCTGTCCTGTCTATAATCTCATGACACCAGTTGGAGACTCAGTTCTTTTCTTCTGTCTGAAGGCAACAGTTTTTAATGTGCTTTCAAACAGCATGTAAACATGGTTTCTGTCAGTAAAAAGAGCCATGGAGAATCATGAACACGGCAGATGAAGACGAGAGCTAGCGGGAAGCTACAAGCAGAGCGGTCGCAGGCTCATGTCTGCTGGGATTCAGGAATGCGTTGTAGCAGTCCAGGGCACTGTCTCCTCCTCCCCTCTGCAATTATTTTTATTTATTTTTTTTTTAATTTGTTTTTTGGTCTTTTTGAGACAGGGTCTCCCTGTAGCCCCAGCTGGCCTGAAACTTACTTTGTAGAGCAGGCTGGCCTCAAACTCACAGAGATCCACCTGCCTCTGCCTCCCAAGTGCTGGGATTAAAGACGTGCACCACCATGCCCGTCAGTGACCCTCTGCAGTTCTTAAAGCTCAGGGAAGTACCAAATACCAGAGGTCCAGTTTCACCACTGTGCTAGCAAGAACAGGTACATCATATCTGCATATTAAGGAATTTCTTCCTTTGTTGAAAATTTATTCTCCTCAGGGATCATAGTAGCCAGTCAGGAACAAAAGTTTTGATGCACCTGTGGCAACACTTGTGTTCCTTTCATTTTTTATCCCCCTAAAAAATAAAATTGATATATTAATCATGAAAATGCTGTGAAAGCTCTAATGATGACATTACAAAATATAATTGGCCCAGGTCCTGAACTTTACAATGTGAAAATGTCACCTGTTTTACATTTCTGAAATTTAATTCTTTTTATTTGCCTTCTGTTCTTTGAAATAGTATGTTGGATGAACAGGTCTTGCTTGTTCTATTGCTGAAAAACTCTTAGGTATTATTTTTAACACCCTAATATCTTTTAATGATCATCTTAATAGTTATTGTGTACAAAGCTGAATGATCGTAATCTGTTTTTTTGTACTTAACATTTAAATGCTCTCACGAGTTCTGAGAAATGCCTGCATGTACTTCTGTTGTGCTGTAAAGTAACACTATTCCTTCTGTCTCTCTAGATATCTATGCATTTATGTAGGACCTATCGTCATAGTGCCTAGGCACTATGACGTCAACCGTAAGAGGAAACTTGCCAAGAAATCTTGGTTTAATTTCTGTCACTTAAGACAACAATTAATTTGTTTTCCACTGTTTGGATTCTTAAATTGTACTCCTTCAGCCAGAGGAGCTTACGCTGCTGCTAATAAAGCTGAGACGGCAGCAAGCCGAACTGAGTAGTATCCGGGAGCACACGTTAGCACAGCTCATGCAGCTGAAACTTGAGGCCCACAGCCCAAAGGTCAGCTATGAAGACATCTGTCTGTGTCATCTGATGTCCTCGCTAATTTTTAGCCACTCATTGATACATTGAGTGTTGTGGGTGTGGAGCATGAGCCTGTACCATCATCACGGGGGCATTGCACTCCTATTGACCCTTTGAGAGCTCAGCTTACTTACATGTGCATATTAGCAAGAGGAAATACATCTAGGATTCATTTCTTCTTAGCTGACAACCCACCAGTGTCGTGGGAGGAGTCAGGAAATGCACCAGACCTACCGATCATGCTGTTATTCACTAAGTGCTTTGACTTCACATCTGGTAAAGTGGATGTTGAGAAGTCTTGTATTTTACAACAAAGCAGTAAGTTCAAAATTCATTATAAGTCCTTTGTTCTTATGGAAAAAAAAATGAACACACAAGTATTTCTCAGCTGGGCCTGGTGACACATACCTGTGATTCCAGCACTCAGGAAGTAGAGGCAGGAGCCTCAGGAGTTCAAGGTCATCCTCTGATGCAGCAAGTTGGAGGCCAGCCTGAACTACGTGAGACTGTCTCAAACAAATTTCTCAAAGGGTTAATAGCCTTTGGTTATATGAGAAAGAAGTGCTACATTGCAGAAAACAGCATGCAAAGCTTCTGTGGTCTGCTAAAGCCATTGGAAACATTTTTCCATTTAATAATTCAGTGTCTAGTTAATTCCTTATGATACTAAATATAGTTTTATAGACTTTCGTATGTCATCTGTACCATTTACGGGAGAGCATGTATATATAAGTTGTGTGGCTGTAAAACTACTTTGTGGTAACTACCTGTATTACAAAATTGACCTTTTTATGAATTCTGCACCTTCTCTACCCCTTTTCCTTGATTGATGACTACTAGAATGAAATTCTTTCACATCATCTTCAAAGGAACACCATATATTTGGATCATCAGGTGGGATTTGTAGAATTCTCTTACTATGATACCAATTGGAAATTCTGAATTATAGTACAATTTTTCTGGTTACTTAGGTATTTCAATCAGTTTAGTTAACACTCTGACTTTTACAAGTGACAGGCATGAGCTCTGACCACAGTAAACAAGGCAAAAAGACATCTGTGACGGTAACGAGGGTTACGAGTGTCGAGGCACCTACAACTGAGAGCCTCTACTCCATGTTCCTTATAGCCATGAAAACGCTTGCATACTTGCATATTAAGACTTGCCTGAGCTTGGGCTGACCAATTAAAGGAATGGACATGGAGCTGTGGGGTTTCTTGTTGCAGGTGGGGAGGAAAGTATGTGTGGTGGGTTCTGTATTCCCAAAGGAGAGTTTCAGGATGGGGCAGTGTATGCTGTCTCTTCTCAGAGTTTGGTCTTTCCTGAGTATTCAGAGCCCATTTCATAGTGACCTATGATCCTCCCATTATCTGAGTGATGGGCTGGCTAAAATGAATGATCAGAAGTGAAAAGCAACCAGATCTGATGGGGCATGTCTTTAATCCCAGAAGGATTAAAGCAGGGAGGCAGGGTCAGACAAGTGTCTGTGAGTTCAAGGCCAGGCCTGGTCTACAAGGGGAGTTCCAGGCCAAGCCAGAGCTACATAGTGAGACTCTGTCTCTAAAAAAGAAAGGGAGCCAGAGAGATGGCTCAGCCATTAAGAATAGCACTGGCTATTCTTGCAAAAGACCAGGGTTCAAATCCCAGCATTCACATGGCAGCTAACAACCATCCATAACTTCAGTTCCAGGGGATCTGACACCCTCTTCTGTCCTTTGTGGGCATTGCACAAGATGGGTGCACTTACACACATGCAGGCATAACACTCATACATGTAAAATGAGGAGAGAGGGAGGGAGGGAGGGAGGGAGGGAGGGAGAGAGAGAGGGAGAGAGAGAGAGAGAGAGAGAGAGAGAGAGAGGGAAAGAGAGAGAGAGAAAGGGGGAAAGAAGAGAAGTAAAAAATAGCCAGGCGTAGTGGTTCACACCTATTGTCCTGGCAATTGGGAGACTGAGGCAGTAAGATTGCTACAAGCCTAGAGGCCAGCCTGGGATACAGAGTAAGACTCTCTAAAAAAAAAAAAAAACAGCATAGTGAAAAGTGTCAGTGAACAAAAACTGTCGAATGTTTTAGTCTTAGAAACTCTTAATATTTACTTGATGGGAATGTCTGTTATTAAACATAATTTCTGCTACTGAACGCATTTTTAAATAAAGATTACACTAAATTCAGAATAGACTTGTCTTAAAATGTATAGATGTGAATGTTTTATCAAATAAAGACGTTCCTATGGAAAATGTTATGACAAATGGTCCCGCATTTATATTTACCTCTTTGAAACAAATGTAATAATGTAGCTGTAGAAGTTACTAATATTTAAAGAGAGATTTTACATCAGGATAACCCTTTAAATTTGGTCATCTTAGTTGTAAAGAAATACACTTTTCTTAATTAAAATTGCCATATTTCCATAACTTTTTTTCATCATGATTTTGCCTTGTTAGGCTGTTTTGGAAACTGGCATTTCATTGTCCAGTTCAGATCTTCACTCCAGAGGCTGGTGCAGATGAAATTGAGGCAATTATAATATGCACTTTGAAAATATAATAACAGCATTAGTTAATTAATAGAAAAATGCATCTTCTCTCAAAATTTTTAAAAGCTTCCAGAATACTTTGGAAATAAGCTTTCTTTTAATGGGCACTAGAGAGGTGGCTTAGAAGTTAAGAGCATTGGCTGCTCTTACAGAGGACCTGAGTTCAGTTCCCAGCACCCACATGGCAGCTATCAACCTTCCATAGCTCCATTTTCAGTGGGGATTTGATACCCTTTCTGAGCATTGTACACAGGTGATTTCATGCACCTGCATTTATAGGCATAAAATTAAATAAACCAAAAATGTTTAAATCCTTTTTGTATTATAAACTAGAGCACCATGTGCCTGTAATTCCAGCACTTCAGAGGCAGAAAACAGGAATATCAAAAATTCAAGAGTAGTGTGAGCTACATGGCAAGACCCTGTCTCAAAAAACTTTAAATAAATAAGCAAATTACAGATTGTTCTGAAAAACCGAGATATTACAAAAGTTAGATTAAAAAAAAAAAAACAATAGTATAAGCATGAATCTGAAGTTCTCTGGAGATAAACCAAATGGTTTGCTATAATTTATTACTAATCTCAGTCAAATCAGTGGTGCAATTATAGAGACAGAACTTTGGCAAATCATAGGGATAAAACACAGGCATGTTGAAGCCACCACGCCTAAGGTCTTTTCAGCCCCTTTTCCACATCAGGCTGTGCTTTATCCCTTTCTCAGAATTGCACAGGTCCATTTCAGGCTTACCCGCCCGTCATTCATCTGTGCTGAACCATCCCTGTTAGGCCATGCTAGTGGCCCTCTGGATGCCTTCTGAAAATTTCACTTTGTTATTTGTCATTTCTAGTCTGCACCCGTTCTCAAGTAATTTGCCTTTTTATTAGATTCTGAAGCAGTTACATTATTTCCATTTTTACATTTTGTAATAAAAAGAATAATTATAGAAATGCATGGTTTAAATGATATTTTGCATTTAAATGGCTACGCCTGATAGCAAAAGTTTAGCCATTCTTAGATAATAATTAGGATATAAAAATGTGGTGAACAAAAACTCATACCTAAGTGTGTATAACCTTAAGGTTATCCAAAGCTAGGGAAATTGCTCATTAGGTTAAGTGCTTGCTAGGAAAGCACAAGCTCCATGCCCAGAACCCACGTAAACAGCCAAGCATAATGGTCCTCACTAGTAATCCCAGCATTGAGTAGCAGAGACAGGTTGATTCCTGAATATCTCTGGCTTGCCAGCCTAGCCAAATCGGCAAGCCCCCAGCCCCAGTGGGTCTCAGACAGAATAAGATGGATGCCTCCTGAAAAACACCTGAAATTGACCTCTGGCTTCTGCACGTGCGCGCGCACACACACACACACACACACACACACACACACAGGCTCACAGTCAAACACAAGGTTACCTAAAGAAAATCTCTCTTTAAATTCTTTTTAGAAATAAGTTTTAGCAATGCATTGAACTGTACTATATTTTATATTAGCAATTATAGCTATATATTGTATAAGAAAGATTCTGATAATTTTGAAGTATAATGGACTTTGTCATTCAACTCAAACATTTCCAGCTTTTAATCTTGTTACTGCCAGTAATCTATTTCAGCTGACCAGGTCTGTTGTTTTTTCAGACATCATTGGTTGTGTGGCATTTATAAATTGACTCATCAGTTTTATATAACCACAAATTAGAAAGTAGATCAGAGGAAAAGACCCTGGACACATTTTAAACTACGTATCATACCAAGTGAACATGTACTAATTGATTCTCCCTCTGAGCACTTACTGTGCCTTCCCCACCAACTCAGAATAACTAGAGCTCATCAGATGCAGTCCTTCCTCTGGCCCCTTGTCATGTACCATAATAATCCAAAGGAAAACTTAATTAAATTCTGTTAATCTTTATCATTATTCACAAAAAGTAGGACCAGAGGGCAAATTCTGTGAGTTGTTTCAGAGGGCATGCCTGCTGGTACTGGCTTGCTTATACACAGGAAGGAAGCTAGCTGCGCCACCTTAGCAGGAATTATAAGGACTGGTATGTTAAGCACTCAGCCTGAAAATCCTGGCTTCTCGTCACCACCTATGAGGATGAATGATGTATTGAAGTAGTTTAAAAATAGCAGTAGGAGTTCGCTTGTGGACCAGAGCGCCGTAGAATCCCAGCCAAAGCTGAGCAAGGTCTCTGAAGGCCCATGCCAGCAGCACTTCTGAACACACTGGGGAGCAGAAACAATAGCAGTAGGGTACAGTGGCTCTCGCCTGTAATTGCAGCACTCCAGGAGGCTGAAACAGGACTGCCTTGAGTCCAAGACAAGCTTGAGATGTATAATGAGTTTTAGGCCAGTCTGGGCTACAGAGTAAGACCCCGCCTGACAAGATAAAAAATAAATTTTAGCCAGGCATGGTGGCGCATGCCCTTAATCCCAGTACTTGGGAGGCAGAAGCAGGCAGATCCTTGTGAGTTCAAGGCCAGCCTGGTCTACATAATGAGTTCAGGTCAGCTGGGACTACAGGGAGACCCTGTCTCAAAAAGACAAAAAAATATATATATATATTAAAGCAGTTAGCTATACAGTTATGTGATAGAATTTATACTGTGTGGTAGAATTTTCTTGTATTTTTGCTTCATTTTGAAGTACGCTATCACATATTTGTTTGTGTTTAAATAGCAGTATGCTATTTATAATCTGACTTTTTGTTGTCTCACTAAGGTAGCCCTGGCTACCCTGGAACTCACTATATGTAGACCAGGTTGGCCTGGAACACAGAGATCCATCTGCCTGCTCATGTTCCAAGTGTTGAGATTAAAGGCTTGTACCACCATTCCCAGTATAATCTGTATTTTTAATAACTTTTTTTATTTATTCTATGAGAATTTCACTCGTGTATACAAAGTATTTTGATCATGTCTGGCCACCATCCCTCCTCTTGAACTTCCCCCAAACTCCCTCCCAACTCATCCCCTCCCTAATTTCATGGCCTCCTTTTCTTTTTCTTTTCATAATCCACTGAGTCAAGCTAGTGCCGCCCATATGTCCATGGGTGCAGGGCCCTCCCCTGGCATGGGCCGTCTGTCAGGACCCTGCTTCCCTACTCTTCCTCTCTCAGAAACCATCAACTGCCCATAGCTCCTCAGCTGGGAGTGGGCCACATGAGCCCTACTCATTCCAGACTGGACTTCTGACTGGTTTCATCTTGTGGTGATCTTATGCAGGTAACCCCAGCAGCTGTGAGTTCATGCACTGTCCGTGTCATTCCAGCAGACAGCATCTCACAGCTCTCCGCCCATCCTCTTACATTTTTTTCTACCCCTTCTTCCACAGTGATCTTCCATGCCTTCAGGGGCTGGGG